AACCATAGCCTTTGTTGATCCTTTGTTCTGCTTGGGTTGAATCTGTTCCTTCTTCCTATTTCTTCGTTCAGCTCTTTCCTTCTTCCATTCAATTTCCCATTGAGGGCAGTTTTTGATGTGGTGATCAGTCTCTTGTAACACCCCTCATTGGTTTGTTTTTCAGGAACCCTTGGTTTGTTGTAGCTTCCACTTCTTGAGGGACCCTTTCCTCTCATTAGGTACTTCTTGAAGTCCTTTGTGATCATGGTCATTTCATCCTCCTCTAGATCAGCACCTTTAGTGATTCTGAATGCCATGCTCCTTTCCTTTTTGGGTGCATCCATCTTTATGGTTTGCCTTCTAAGTTCATAGGCAGGGAGATTTCCAATTAGCTCATCCAACTTAAGAGTGGTAATGTTCTTTGATTCTTGAATAGTAGTGATTTTGCTTTACCAAGTAACAGGCAGAACCCTTGTCAGAATTTTCTCNACCAGAACGGAGGTCAATCTTTGAAAAGTGGGCAACTCCTTGTAACTGATCAAACATGTCATCTATACGGGGCAAAGGATATATTGCGTATTGTTATCTTGTTCAACTGCCTGTAGTCAATGCACATTCTCAGGGATCCGTCTTTCTTCCTTACGAACAGTACTGGTGCACTCCATGGTGATACACTAGGTCTAATAAAACCCTTATCTAACAAATCTTGTAACTGTTGCTTTAGCTCCCTCAACTCTGCTGGTGCCATTCGATATGGGGGTATCGATATGGGCTGTGTGTCAGGTAGCAAATCAATACCAAAGTCTATTTATCGTACCGGAGGCAATCCTGGTAAATCCTCAGGAAATACATCAGAAAATTCTCTCACTACTGGTACATTCTCTATACTAACTGTTTCCTTTCTTGTATCATTTACAATAGCTAAGAGACCCAAGCAACCTTTCTTCAGAAGTCGTTGAGCCTTCATAAAAGATACAATTTTGCAAGTCTCTAGAACCCGACTCCCTCTTAGAATAAACTAGGATTCTATTGGTATCTCAAACTTAACTATCTTTGCATGACAATCGACTATAGCATAGCAAGAAGATAACCAACCCATTCCCATCAGCATGTCAAAGTCAATCATATCAAGTACAATAAGGTCAGCTAGAGTATCTCTACCCTCAACCCAAATCTGACAAGCACGATACACGTATTCAGCTAATAGAGACTCTCCAACAGGAGTAGCAACTAGAAAAGGATCATTCAATAGCTCGGGCTGTCTACTAAATCTCAAAGCAAAGTACGAGGACATATAGGAGTGAGTAGATCCCGGATCAATCAACGCAAGTGCATCAAATGAATAGACAGAAAGAATACTTGTAACCACGACATTGGATGCCTGAGCATCCTGTCTAGTAAATGCAAAAACTCTCGCCTGACCTCTACCAGCATTCCCTTGTCCTTGATTCACAGTAGCACGGTCTGCAGCACCTCGACCTTTGTTTCCTGTACCTGTAGCACCTGAAGTATTACGAGTAGTCTGAGTCGGTGCAGCTGACTGAATAGAAGCCTGGTTGAAATTTCTCGGAGGCTGAGGCCAATCCCTCAAGTGATGTCCCAACTGGCCACACCGAAAGCACTCTCCAGTTAGAACACGACATTGGCCCAAATGTGATCTACCACAAGTCTGGCAGACTAGAGTAGTGGCATATATCTGCCCAGAATTACGATGTTCAGAAGATGATGGTCCCCTATTACCTTGTCTGTAATGTGGTCTGTATGTGGACTGTAAAGACATGTGAGTCCCTGTTTGAGAACCCTGTTGTTATTGTTGTCCCTGATTTCCTGCTCTTCTATTTTCACTAAAACCACCACCGAAAGCCCCTCCTGTCTTGGCCTTCTTACGTAAATCACTAGCTGCACGCTCCTCACGTCCCTTATTTTCAATCTTTCTAGCAAGGTCGACTATATCAGAGTAGGATAAAGTCTTCATCTGTGGGGCTACTGCAGTGTATAGACAACCAACCAATCCATCAACAAACCTCTGAACTCGAGCTTCTTCGGTAGGCACTAAGTGAGGAGCATATATAGCCAGCTTACAGAACTTAGTGTTATATGTTGACACATCCATATCTAGAGTCTGAACCAATCTCTCAAAGTCTCTAGCATATTGTTGCATCAGACTGTTTGGAAGAAAATGATGCTTGAACAACTTGGTGAACTCGTCCCATGTCAGTAGTGGTGCTCTTGCTATCCTTCCTAGCAATACCGTTTCATACTATGTGTTGGCCATATCCTCTAGTTTGTATGCTGCGAGCTCCACGGCTCTCTCACTAGCACATCCAAGAGCACGTAATGCCTTGAGTGTCCCATCCAAGAAACTTTGAGGATCTGTTGAATTATCGGAACCTGTGAATTTTGGTGATTTCAATTTCAGAAACTCTTGTAGGAATACTTCCTTATTTCCGAAAGTCTAAGTCTGTGCAGGTGCTTGTGTCTGTAAAGTAGCCTGAGGAGTTGAACTTCCTCCCTGAGTAGGCACCAATGCCTCTAACACATTCAATAACCTTGCCACTGCGTCCGCAGGTAAGGCAACAGTAGGTACAACAGTTGGCACTGGTGGTGGAGCATTATGAACTCCCTGCACTTGCACTTGATCTGGCATAATAGCTTGGGTTTGACCCATGTTCCCAACTTGAGGTTGAGGAGCAGTCTGTCTTCTAGTTTGATGAACCCCAACTTGACCGCCACCTCGGGTAGCACCACGTCCAGCGCCACGTCCAGCAGATGAGGGTGTGCGTGTCCTAGCCATCTGCGAAAGAAATATTCCATAGTCAATCTCAAGTTATCTCAACGCATGATCAAAGAATGAAAGAAGGGAAAACATTCCTAGATATTCAGTAGCCTCAAGATCATAAGTATGGGCGCCTACATACCCATGAACAAGACTCTACTAAACATTGCTCCATGACTCGGGACTTAAAGCCTAAGCTCTGATGCCAACTGTGTCACGACCCAATTTAGGATTGTGACCGGCGCTTAGGAGCAGGTGCTCCCAAGTAAGCCTCATCGGTAATTTTACAGAAAATCGGACAGAGTTTCCCCTGTTTTTGGACCATCCCAAAAATTTTCCTGTCTCAAATCAACAACCAAACATCCTAATATCATACCATACAATTGGCAACTTGTCAATTTACCAATACAAGTCTCCACCATAACTAAACCACCAAGTAACCACTAGAAATACTAATTTATCTCCAACTTTGATAAATGAGAACGATACTCAACATAAGGCTAAAATAACAAAAGAATACTCATGACACTAAATTAATGACTATGGAGCGACTCTAAGAGTTCAAAGAAAAGAGTATAACAATATAATAAAATCTCCGCCCACGCGAACAAGTGCGAGGCTCACCAAGAACTATCAACCTGTGCGCTCTAATTAACGAAATCCTCGCCCGCGTCAACTGCTGTCTCTGTAAAAAAATAATTAGCGGGGAATGAGTCGCTAGCTCAGTGAGTAATAACACTTAATCACAACCGTTTTTTTTATTTGGGTACAAGTCAGAAAACATGCTAGTATCTCAAACAGAAAATAACATAAAAAATGCCCTTTCAGAAACTACAAATAATTTTCAGTCTCATCATATTTTCTTGTAGTATAATACAATTAACAATTCAGTAATAAGCTCGGTAACCACTGTATAATATCAGTATTCTCATTTGGGAGGTTTCAATTAACGAATCATGTAATCGGTATAACTGTGGACTTCGTCGCAAGAAGTCAAATATAACGGTAGTCCCTACTCGAGGGAAAATCAGTAACGGTATGCTAGTTCTACCTTCCCACTAGCGAGGGCTATAACTGTACTTTGTAATCGATAAATACAAGGTGCACCAAGTCAAACGAACCCGCCGTTAGCTACGGGATCCTTCAAAGTCTACTCCCATTTATACTTGCCTCTGTATCCGTATATACTCATAAGAAAATATTTTAAAACAATATAGGGCATTTCGGTTCTTATCAAATCATGTAATTTCATTTCGATAACAGTAAATTCAAGTAACGGTAAAATATATCTAGTGACAACAAGAATATTTAAAACAACGGTAATCATGTCAAATAACTATTTCGGTATCATATCGAATAAAAGACTTGACCCACATGCAATTCAAAATAATCGGTAACATATTCATATAAAAATCATGTGTAAATCATGCAAGTTGTGAAAATACAAATTGCGGTAAGATTACTACTCACCGTACTCGTGCCGAAATACCAAATGCTTCACCTCGAGCAATTCGTACAAATTCCTCCAATCAATCTATAATTACATAATATCGATCTCATGTTAATTTTCTTGTTTAGGCTAATTCATAGCTAACTTCGAATACCCAATCATCGGGGTTCATGTTCGAGTCTTAATTTGTGGGTTTATATTTAATCATAGAACTAGTCCATAATTCTATCAATTTTTTAAACTATTTAGTATAATTTATTCTTCTAAAATTAGACCTATCAGTGCTTAAACCAAACCTTTATACCCTTGTTATCTCCATAGTAATTGTATATTTCTTTTTATATAAGCGAAAGTTGATATTGAATTCTTTTGTACTACATGAAATTACATAGATGCAGTGAAATAATTCAACAGATGAGGAGAAGAAGGTTAACCTCTTGAGTCGAAGGAGAGCTTTAATACTTTCAATTTCAACTCCCAATTCTTCTTAAGCCTTTGACCAAAGCTTTTTCTTCTTCTTCTTCTTCCTTTTTTTCTCTTCCTTTCTTTCTCTGCTTTTGTTTTCTTTTTGTTTGTCATTTCCTTCAGAAGCCAAAGCTTCTTTGCTTTTTAAACCCTTAACCTTGGCAGGTTAATACTTTCTAATGGGCTTCGACCCTTTTGTTTTCCATCCTTTCTTTTTATTTTATTTATTTTTTGTTTGTTTTATGTTTTATTTGCTAAATGTCCAATATGCCCTTATTTAAAATATTGGGGCCTACATCCTCCCCACCTTATAAAATTCGGTCCCCGAATTTAACTCATGTACGTACCTGTAGACTGAAATAAGTGAGGATAGTTGACTCGCATAGCATCTTCCACTTCCCACGTAGCTTTTTTAACTGTATGATTTCTCCATAAGACTTTCACGAACAATATTTCTTTTGACTGTAGTTTTCTTACTTGTCTATCAACAATAGCCATCGGCTCCTCCTTGTAAAACAACTTCTCATCAAGCGGTATAGCAGGTGCTTCAAGCACCTGAGATGAGTCTGATATACATTTCCTTAGCATTGAGACATGAAAAACTGGATGAATAAAGGACAACTCAGGAGGAAGTGCCAAACGATAAGCCACAGCTCCCACTCGATCTAGTATCTCATACGGTCCTATAAACCCGGGGCTCAGCTTGCCTCTTTTCCCAAACCGCATCACACCTTTCACAGGAGAGACTCGCAGGAACACTTTGTCTCCAATTGTGAACAGTAAGGCTCTTCTTCTCTTATCAGCATAAGACTTTTGTCTGCTTTGAGTTGTAAGCAATCTCTGTATGATCAACTGGACTTTGTCCATAGCTTCATGTACTAAGTCGGGTCCCAATAAGTTAGTCTCACCAGCTTCAAACCATCCGATAGGAGAACGACATCTTCTACCATACAATGCTTCGTACGGTGCCATTTGAATACTGGATTGGAAGCTATTGTTGTAAGCAAATTCAGCTAAAGGTAGATAAGCATCCCAACTACCTCCAAACTCAAGAATACAAGCTCTCAACTTATCCTCCAAGATCTGTATAGTAAGTTCAGACTGCCCGTCTGTCTGTGGATAAAATGCAGTACTAAGATCTACTCGTGTACCCAATGCTTCTTGAACAGATTTCCAAAAACGTGAAGTGAACTGTGATCCTCTATCAGAGATGATGGATACTGGAACTCCTTATCAAATCATGTAATTTCATTTCGATAACAGTAAATTCAAGTAACGATAATCATGTCAAATAACTATTTCGGTATCATATCGAATAAAAGACTTGTCCCACATGCAATTCAAAATTATCGGTAACATATTCATATAAAAATCATGTGTAAATCATGCAAGTTGTGAAAATACAAATTGCGGTAAGATTACTACTCACCGTACTCGTGCCGAAATACCAAATGCTTCACCTCGAGCAATTCGTACAAATTCCTCCAATCAATCTATAATTACATAATATCGATCTCACGTTAATTTTCCTGTTTAGGCTAATTCATAGCTAATTTCGAATACCCAATCATCGGGGTTCATGTTTGAGTCTTAAGTTGTGGGTTTATATTTAATCATAGAACTAGTCCATAATTCTATTAATTTTAAACTATTTAGTATAATTTATTCCTCTAAAATTAGACCTATCAGTGCTTAACCTTTATCGCCTTGTTATCTCCATAGTAATTGTATATTTCTTTTTATATAAGAGAAAGTTGATATTGAATTCTTTTGTACTACATGAAATTACATAGATGCAGTGAAATAATTCAACAGATGAGGAGAAGAAGGTTAACCTCTTGAGTCGAAGGAGAGCTTTAACACTTTTAATTTTAACTCCCAATTCTTCTTAAGCCTTTGACCAAAGCTTTTTCTTCTTCTTCTTCTTCTTCCTTTTTTTCTCTTCCTTTCTTTCTCTGCTTTTTTGTTTTCTTTCTATTTCTCGTTTCTTTCAGAAGCCAAAGCTTCTTTGCTTTTTAAACCCTTAACCTTGGCAGGTTAATACTTTCTAATGGGCTTCGGCCCTTTTGTTTTCCATCCTTTTTTTTTGTTTTATGTTTTATTTGGTAATTGTCCAATATGCCCTTATTTAAAATATTGGGGCCCTACATGTACACACATCCAATGTATGTGAAAATGTATCAAACAAATTCAAAGTGCCAAACAAAACCACGTCTTCAGTTATTCAATATAGAAATCTGCATTACAAGATTCGAGGTACCTATATTGTAGAAAGTCGAAAATGCAGCAGTGAAAACACCCGAAAACGAAATAAAAACCCGGCAAAAGTACCCGAAAATTAGCAACTAGTAACCTGCAGCAACATCAGTAAAAAGAACCAAAAAGACAACCCGGAACAGACCTCGAAAGCTCATATAACTTTCGGAGATAGAGAAGCCCAGAAACTAACTTCAAAGACCTTTATTCTTTGAAGTATTTTTGTTTCTCAGAAAACTCACTCAAAGCTCTCAAGTTTCAGCCTACTATTCTTGAAGTTCAACTGATTTCTCTCAAGTTTTGTGTTCTTTTTCTTTGTGTAAAAGATGTGTCTTAAGTGTGTGAGAAATGAACTCTTAAGTAGGAAACAAAAGCACCCTTTGGACAGATTTTGGTTTACCAAAAGGTTGTCCAAAAGTACTAACTTTGCTACCAAATACCTGCCCAAAAAACTTACTTTTGTGTGCTAAAAGTCTGTCCAAGGGCTGTCCAAAAGGGAAAGGACAGTCCAAACCAGCTAAAGTGGCAAAAGCATGGAGGAAAATGTGCTTTCAACCACTCTAGTACTAAAAGTAAGCTACTAGCATACCCTATTTCATGACTACACTAACTAAACTTCAGTTTTGAACTAAAACAGTACCAAACCCCTTGATTTTGAACCAAATCAAATTCAAACAACTAAGAATTGTCAAAACAATAAACAAGACTTTCAAATGGAACTAATACTCAAACTAACTAGATTATAACAATTTAATTTGTGCAAACTAACATGGAAAATAACTGAATTCACCAACTAAAGTGCGAAACAGAAATTAAACGAGTATTGTCAACTATCCGACAACGACTAACAACAACTAAATAAATGACTAACTAAGCAAATGATTTAACTTCACTTAAAGACCCGTCTGGTTGATGACAATTTGATAACCACATAAGCTAAACAGAGATAACTAACTAACAAACATACTAAATCAAAACTCTAATTAATAGTAATTTGATCACAAGAGAAATCAAAATCAGAAAACTAAACCTATTACTATTAAAATCAAAAAATGAGCGAGGGAGTGAAGATTATACCCAACAAGCGTCCTTGAAACTGTCCATGTATCTCAGGGACGAGGCTATCAGTTTCGAATGATATGAACGACATTCGAACGAAATTTTGTGGGTGACAGATGTTAGGACCACTAATTCAGAAAAGCCGAGCAATGATTTGAACATCATGTCGCCTAGAAAGAGTCATTCCTAGGCCGTATCTAGTCAAATAGAGGCTCAACGTGCTTGGTTGTGTTCGGATGGCAGTGGGAGGGCTGGCCGGAATTCGGCTAGATTTCGGAAGGGGTTTGAAGATTTTGGGGCGAGGAATAGAAAAGAGGAGAGTTAGAGGAGGCCGATGGTGTGATTTTTATGGGGTTTGGAGGTGGTAGACGACGGCTAGGTTTTCGACCTAGGCTAGATCTACAAATTTGGGGAGGGTTTTTAAGGTTTTGAGGTTTGGAATAAAAAACAAGAGAGTGAGGAGAGAAGAATGGTATAATATTTGTGGTGTTTGGACGGCGGCCGATGGTGGCGATTTCCGGCCGGCGGAACCACTATGGGGAGCGGCGGAGAGGTAGAGGGACGAGAGAGGGGTTTAGTTCTGCTCTTAGGTCTAAAATGGCCAAACATTGAATTTTACGAGGCCTTATATACGGAAGGGAAGATTAAATGAAGGCCGTTGGATTGAACTAAAATGGATGGCTGAGATGACCTCTCACCCAATCTTGGTAGATGAGCATATCCGGGTTGGGTCAAGTTTGGACCGGGTCTATGAGATCTGGGCCACCTGATTTGTTCCAAGCTTGGCCCAATTTCAGTTAAAAATGGGATAAGTTCACAAATACCTACCCAACACAAACAATTTACTCGCTTCTACCCAAACCAAAGTATTTACCCGCTCTACTCCATAGACCATAGAATGCTTATTGATGATCATCACTCATTTGATCCTTTTCTTTATTTTTGGTCCCTTTGTTATATAATTAAAAAAACTGATAGAGTATTCCCCCCCC